GGGTAGTGCTGGATAGAGATTGTGATAGAGGATTTGGGTGGTTCGTAAGGTTCTGGTGAAATTTGGAGAATTTTTTTTGGATGAGGTCTAGGACAAATGGGATGTTGAGGTCATGATGTAGGGTTTTGTTGGTTATATGGAAAGGAGCATCGACTATTGTTCGAAGGACTTTTGACTGGAAGGATTGAATGCGCTTGATATTAGAAAATTTTGCTGATCCCCACAGAACGAAATTAATAATAATATAAAATATAAATTATAAATTATAGCTCATTATAGAGAGGATGAAATGCTGAACATTTCCCTTGCTCACAGATTACTCCGATTTTTATCTTCTTATTTTTCTTTTTATTTTTCCGATTTTTAGTTTCTGAGATATTTTAATTCACATCTTCAATAAAAATTGTTATTTGTTTTTGGACGCAATTTTTTTTTCTTTTGGCCTCTCTAATACGACCTTGTGTAGAGATACAATTTTGAATAATAGCACATTATAGAGAGGAGGAAATGATGAACAATTCCCTTCCTTACAGAATGCAGCTCCGATTTTTAGTTTCAGATATATTTTAATCCGTATATTTAATTAAACTGGTTATCATTTGGTTTTTGACACTATGTTTCCCTTTTTGGCCCCTGTAATTCGGTGTTCCGTTACCATACGTTTTTTTAATAATAGCTCATTATGAAGAGGATGAAATAATGTACATTTCCTTTGCTAACAATATGCAGGTCCGAATTTTACTTTTTGTGATATTTTAATCCATATTTGAAAAACTATTTATTCTGTTCATTGGCCGTGGGGTGACCCTGGATAAGTAGACCACCCTGAGGCACACCCAGCCTCTGTAAGGTGGGTAACCTTAATTAAAATAATTGATTAAGGGGAAAAACCTGACGGTTGAGCGTGATCTTGGTCAAATTACCTCCTTCCACAACCGTACACAAAGAAACAATGCTTCCGCTAAATAGTACTGCACCCAAGACCCTTCATGGGTTGTAGTGGTACAGGTTTTTTTTTTTAAACCCTTCAATTAGTTGAACCCAGCCGAATTTACCCGAGCGTTACACATCAGAGATCTGACGGCTCAATCTAGTACACTCTCCATAAAAAAAAGTGCAAAATGCAACAAAAGTTTTAACTTTAAAACATCTTAAACATATGTTTCATTCTGTATACTCCTTGTGTGCATTTATAGAGCACTCGTCATAAGAAGTAAGTATAGATACTTAGTTTTGTGGAGTGCCATCTATATCTGGAGAAAAGTTTCTCTGTAACCTCCTCCATACCTCAATGACGTCTGCTTTCCTTATCAGTTGGTATTATTTCTGGTAATATCTCCTTGGAAACATCACTGCTGCCAAGTTCAAGGTGGAAGGATATGTCGCTATGTGTTACCTTTCATCTTTTACTAAGCTCTAATTTTAGACAAATGTATCTTTGCCTCATTAGCGAAGCCGCCTACAACCGCCACCTAAATAATATTAACAGTTATAATTATACAAATATAATTAACTACACGAACGCCTCTTGTTTCAGAGCGATTTCAAAGAGAGACAGAAATACTTCAGCAAAAATTATATTTCAACGAGTATATTCCAGCAAGAACTCTCACATTAAATAGCTTCTCCTTAATGCTCAAGCAACATTAGCAAAAATGTTTAAATATATTATCATGAAAGTCTATTCAGCACACACGATTAGTGAAGTTTCAGACTTTAACACGACTGTTATAGTTATTAATAAGTTATTAGCTCAAAATCTCAAGAAATCTTAATTGGTCAAGAATATACAATCCTATAATAAAGCCAGTTCTAATATATGGCTGTGAAACCTGGACACTAACCAGCACCCTTGAAAAAAAACATTGAAAGATTTGAGATATAAATTCTCCTCACGATAACCAGAGCGATCTGGGATCACAGTAGTTACACATGGATTGGTTGACATACTGACGGTGCAAAATATAATTCCTTACCATCAGTTCGGTTTTCGTACATTAAATTCAACAACACAACAATTACACTGAGTTACATTGCTGAATCACTGGAGCAAAAACAATACGCAACCGGCGTTTTTCTGGATGTTGCCGATGTATTCAACAAAGTCTGGTACCAGAGCCTTCTCTTCAAACTCAAAACTCTACTACCTCATACTCCAATCTTTCCTTTCCGACAAATTTTCCTCTGTCCGACAGGGTCTCGAAATTTCCTCAATTAGACCATTATTAGGAGGAATACTTCTAGTATCAATATTGGCTCATTTACTCTACATTACATATACGTATGACATACCTGCCAACTCCGAAACATTGACCGCCACCTAAACTGACGATACAACAATTTTAACAAAACACCATAACCCAATTATTTGGACATTATTTTGATGTTTCTTCACTAAACAATATATTCTGCAAATTATTCGCACGGGCCAACTAGTAATATATAAAACACGATTAATTGCTTTTTCACTTTCACTTACCTATGTATGTAATAAATAGTAAAGGAAAGTATTGCGATCATGAAAATTTTCGAATATTAGTGTTCTACGGAAATACACGTTGTGAGATTCCCTGAGTCTAAATAACCAAGTTTTATATCAACGGTTATATACATTTTTATAATTTCCTTAAAAACTGCTTCAACGATTTTTATTAAACTCGGTGTATCATTGTATAATTGAGTGGTCTTTAATACCATTGATCTTATCCCCATTGATGTCACTTTAAAAGGCTTAAATGCTTAAATGTTCAACATGTCTTCCTCTAAAGTACCTTTAATTTAGTTTATTTTAAGTAATTAACCATCTCACATTATTTACAGTTACGAAAAAAATGCTAAATATAACTTTTGAAAGAATTTGATAATTGAAAAATGGAGAACAAAGAGAAATTGTTTATTGTGGTCGAAAATATAATATATCGTTAGAAAGTGAAAATTTTATTTAAAAAACATAACTAATACACAAAGTCGTAGAAAGTAATGGACAGCGGCGAAAAATTGTAAAAATTATATATTTATATTTATATATTATATTTTGTGAAAACTAATATTATTTAACGGAAATCACATATTTTCAAGGAAATTAAATGAAATTTACTAATTAAACGTAAAATTTCTTTAAGTTTGAAAAAAGTATTCAAAATTCACCTAATAAAGGCAATGGCATTGTTTAAAAAACTATTTCATAGTACTTATTTAAAAAAAGAAGTGAAATATAAAAATATTTCATGGATGTACAAAGCATATATTTATAACCATAAATATATTTACTGTAGTATAATAACTCTAGATCAGATATTTTATTTAAATAAATAGGTATCAACGTTTATTCCAAAAAATCATTATTTAATATTTTCAAAAATTAAATTATTGAATAATTTGATGAATTTTCCCTTTGCAAAATCCAAATCATATCCGCTTAAAATTAGTGTAAAAATTGTTGACCTATCTATGGCTGGAAATGAAAATCTCGTAATTTCTTTGTAGTAAACTTTAAAATGAAAAATAACAGTTTAATAACAAATAGTCTTACAATCCATAATCATTTATAGGTTAAATATTCAGATGTACTTTCAAATCTCTCTAGGCATATATAAGCCTTTGGGATGACAGAATGACTAACTCCAATTTCAACATTCTTTATTATTAATTTTAGTGATGTTTCTAATGTCAAAATTTATACCTTCACAGTTCTATATTTCAACATTACAATCACCTACTCTGGAATCAACTTACTCACTATCTGTATAGATATAACTTTTCAATTAGAAATATCACTACAATGACATTGATCAAAAATGTTGAAATTTTAGTTTTCATTCTGTCAACTGAAAGGCACAGAGACTGAAATTATGTGGTTTTTTTTTTTTTTGTTTATTTAGAAATATTACATTCTGTCACAATCAAGGACATTTGTAATAGTGTTCACTCACACTCTATTTCAATAAATAACACAGAAACTAATAATAATAAAAACAAATGTGTACAAACAAAAGAACTAACCTAATAAAAATAACAACTAAAACACGTGCATACTATACAATAATGTGGTTTATAAAACTTTATTGCTTATCGTCAATATAATAAATATACTTTTTGTAATTTTAATGATTTGTTATCTGTAACCTTTAAGCTTTAGCTCCGTTTAAAATGCACTTCAAAAATTTTAAACTAGTACAATATTGCCAGAAAATAATTTTTATTCAAGGTAGAGGGGTAAGTGAAAGTTGTGTGTTCCGTGCACTAGATTTTTAGTTTTTTAGTTTATGGCAGAATAGACTAGGGGTATCCAAACCCGCTTGCAAAAGTTGATACAATATATCCTATAAATATGTACTATCAATCCTATACAGTATATCCTTATCAGTATATAATTTTACATACATTTCCGAGCTCCTTCAATTTAAATCCTCAGTTCACTCCCGCAATACCCGTTCCCGGTCTTCATATATTTATATATAATGGCCCACCGAACCGCTGCTTTCGATAAATGTTTTCTTATTCGATCCTCATCACTATGGAACTCCACCCCTCCCGACATCCATCGCTCCAATACTCTCCCTACTTTTAAATCCCGCCTATTCAATCACTTTCTTTGCATCCAGTACCTCTAAAATTGTAAAGAGAAACTTTTGTAACTATGTATATAAATTATTAGATCGTTCTTCATTATTTTTACTTCATGTATATTTTCAATTTTTCAATTTTTTATTATTACCTGATTTAAATTATAAAGCAACTTATAATTTCTCTTATTATTTTTTTTATTTTGACTATTTAATCAAACTATATTCTTGTTTATGTATCTCTGAAGCTTCTTAGCCCCCATTTTTGTTTTCTTATTTTTGTGTTCTTACCACATGCTTTTCTTATTTTATTTTTTAGTTACTTACGAATGACAGAAATTTTAAAAGAAAATTAAATACTAATATATAAAAAATGTTTTAGTTGACTTAAAGTTGTAGCTATGACAGTTGAAGGTAAATTTTATGTTTTCTCAGTTTAGCCCGACCTGCCTCAACTTCGTTACAATCTCAACTCTTCAGGCACCCGGCCAAGAAACGAAGAAGTGCAGTTATCTAAGATCGGGTTGGGTGCAGAGCACTTCAGCGAGGATGAGCAACTTCTTATCTTCGTCCCCTCTTTCTCTATTCCGAAACAGCTTCTTGTGAAATAGAAGAAGGGGAAAAGATTAATGTTTAAAACTATTTTGTTATGGCCTATTTCAAGTATTTTTTTTTTACTTTATAAATTAGCCTGTTTTTAAGAATATAGATTTATATCTAAGAATCTCTCAAATGATGTCTAAAACAACCATCATCTGCACTGTGGGTGGATGTCGTGTAAATAAATGTAAGTGGAAAATTATTGAAGGAAGTTAGTCGATTGTTCTACATATCATGAGTGATTAATATTCAGGACGCAGCCTTTTTTTTTTTTAAAAAAAGAAAAAAATTCAATTTTTTATTTATGCCAATGTTTCAACCCAAACATGTAGGTAATCTTCAGGGCTGAAAATGTTTTTTAAAAATACAATCAGAGATATAATATTATACAACCGATAATGGTAAATAATAAACTATAGTGTTAGATGGTACATGAATCTTAAGTAATATTACAATACACACATTAAAAATGAAATATGTAAATAGTTATACAAACCAAAAATTAGAAAATAATGCATATAATCCATTTACAAAAATTTTTAGTTTGAGCATTGAGGGTGTTCATGTACTGACAAATTTGGTAGGTATCTGAAAAGTTCAGGGGAGAGGAGGGAGGATTTTCCAGTTGTTCTTTTTCATATAGCAAAAGGTAGGTAAACATAGTCAGATGGGAAGGGAGATAAAATTTCTGTTTGTAGAATGTAAATAATTTGCAGACTAAATATTTCAAATGTGTACAATATTTGCGTTGTTCCTTATGGTTACAGAAATGTGACAATTGGCTATTAATGAAATGAACATAAGCATTCCCTTTTCACTCCCATAGTCCAGACCACAGCTGACTTGTCAATTGCTTCCAACAAACCTTTCTTGCTGATAAAATGGTCTTCACCATAATAAACCTGCTTAATATCATCCAAACTAATCAAGCATTTCGACCCCCTTTTAGCTGTATCTTGAAATATTCTGTTCACTTATCTAATTTATATTCGTTTGTTTTCTTTTCCGAGATTTTAGCACATCCTTTCTCGTTCGATTAATGTATTTTTGCAATATTTGGGTTCAATTTCGCGTTTTCTCTCATAACTCATGACTCTAAATACTAACAATCAGTTCGGTTACCTAGAAAAACTTATAGATTTGTCCTTTCCATCTTTCTTTGTGAAGAGAGAATAATGCATTCAATATTAAAATTTCCTTTTGACTACTGATGCCTGTGACACAAACTGGGTGCTCCATGCGCAATTAATTAAAAACATGTTTTTCTATATACTGTAGCGCGATCAAACGGTTTTGATGAAACTTTGTTATAATGTTCTAATAACTATCCTTTCAATTTTCGTACACAGACTAAGTTCCCGAAATCAGAAAAAAAAATTATAAAGAAAAACAAATTTTGGGGGCTTAACTCACTAAGTATATATTCTATGATAAAATTTATAATAAAACTTTTGAAAGATAATTAAATTACCAACAAAACAAAAAAAACATCATCGGAATCGGACCAATATTAGCGATGATACAGCTTATTAAGCTTATCAGTTTCTACTCATATTTTAATTTATTACTTTCCTATCTATACTTGGTAAGGAAAATATTGCGATCGGGTCAAATTCCGGATTTGTCGTTTTCGACGGATTTATAAATTTCAGAGTTCTGAATAAAAACCATTCATTTCGGACAGCTATTAACGAAGTTATAGCGATTCAATTTCCCATATAAGATCACGGTTTAGTATCCTGGTGTCAGAAAGGGGTGAATGAGAGAAAAAAGATAACTAAGTGAAAATCTGTTGCCCACATCAAACAAGCTTCACTATTTCCCCTACATTTAATAATAATAATAATAATAATAATAAAAGGCTTAACGAACCCGAAGGTTCGATGCCGACACCACCAATCGCTTGTTACACACCTCCCTCTACCGTTCGCCGTCCAAATCCAGTCACTTCAGATCGGCTTTAATGCAATCTTCCCACCTTCGCTTCGGTCTACCCCTCGGACGCTGACCATTCGGCACAGCAAATATTAGCCTTTTAGGAATTCTCTCGTTACTAAGCCCAACAACTTTACAAGCCCATTTGATTCGCCGCGATGAAATTACCCGGATTCATTTCACGCAATTCGGCGTTGTGTAACCGTATGAATTCTCCGGTTAACTCATCCTTCTTTGGTCCGAATATTCTACGCAATACTTTATTTTTAAAAACCTTAAGACGCTACTCATCCCTCAATGTAAGCGGCCAAGTTTCGCATCCATAAAGAACTTTAGGCAAGATAATTGTATTATAGATTCTAATTTTTAAGTTCCGGAACAAGAGGCGCGAACTAAGTAGTTTTGTCACAGAAAAATAACCCCTACATTTCCAGATTTCCCTAGATTCCCTACATTTCTAGATTTCTCCTACATTTAACAGCAATTATTGTTTGACAAATCAAAAGTTTTTATCAACAATATTAGAGGGTATTGAAATTTTTACACTGATCTACCTTAAGCCGGTTTACATTGCTTTAGTTTATCAAATAAATCGCACTCAAATCTTTTCTTTGATCGATTTTCATGAAAATGAATCTAATTCATTTTTTTTTTTTTAGTTTCTCGATGGACATATGTAAAGGTATAAATACTTTTCTGAAATAGTTTGAAAAGTCGTGTGAGTGGACACACCACATTTTTTTTTATTTAAATATAAAAATATAATATTAAGATAAATCAAAGAAACGAATAAAATATTATAGGTGACCACATATTATTTTGTAGTCATAGACACACCCTAGAGACAGTAAACAGAGTTTTGAAAATATCGCAAAGTAATAAAGAATGTAAGCGTTGAATAGTCTGGCTGGTCGAGAAGAGCGGTTTTAAAGTCTAGCCAAATAATTCCTAAAAATCGTCCAATATCTTCCCGACAGGCGTTCCGTCCAACACAACCTTCTTTTTTCCACAATTGCAACTCTAATCTTGGCATGGGTATCGAGACCACACCGCAACGGCTACTTAAATATAAATATATTCATACCGTTTTATTATTATTTAGATTTTATAGAAATATGTTCAGGTCCCCCCCTCGATTTTATTATATAGATTTAAAAAGAGTCTATTGAAATATTTTCCGAATACTATTATATAATAATAAAATACTTTCATATTGCATTTATTTATGAAATTTACAACAATAAGTTATTTTTTTTATTTATTTATTTAATGAAATTTACTACTGTATAAACAATATAACTAGTAAAAATTCACACACCAGAAATAATGAAGTGAAAAAACTTGAAGAGATACTGCCAGTGGTAGCACTCTCCATTTAATTCTAGGTGAGAAGATCACGAGGTCATCTTCTTTTCAGACGCCTAGAGGGATTATCAGGAATCAAGAAAGAAGCAGGACTGAAAACAAGTGGATTCGGATGGGACTGCATTTTATCATGAAAGGATAGGTATCTGGCTTGCGCTGAATCGGCGACATATAGTACATTAGGGTCTTTAGGAATGGTTTTATTTGTAACAAAATATGGGGCATTAAGAATTTTGGATTGTATGGATTGGATACAATAGGAATTCTCGTAGCTCAACTTTGTATATCCATAAAGGTCTTATTATGGTTAAGTAATTAAGTATTTTGTAATTAATTGAAGGTTTAGAGCGTTTGTCTAGTAAGTGCTGGAGCAGTCAGAAACGTCGAACAGTTTCTTGTGGTTTCATTCTAGTATGCGGATTCCAAGTGAGACGTCTGTTCAAGTTGAGTCCTAGGTTGCGGATTTGTTCAACAAGAACAAGTGGAATATCATTGAAGGATATTGTTGGAGAAGAAGTTGTGGGTTTACGACGGAGGGTAAAGGTAATTTGAAGGGATTTATTGGAATTTATTTTTATTCTCCAGTTATGAAATAAGTTATAATTGGAAAAATTTTAACCACACAGCCAGATATCTGTAAAATACATGCAAAGAACGTTTCTCCAATTCAGACATCATCAGAATAAATAATTAAACTAATCCAGTAGTCCGTTGTACAGACCATTTTTATCAAATTATCTGCCTAAAACTTAGTGAATTGCTTCATCTCATCGTAAGCTGCAAATATTTTATTTACGAAAACTGTTGGGGTGTTTTCAATATGGAGATGGGCAAACTTTCTCAATTTAATTAGGTAGTAGATATTCATTTGCTTTGCACTTGGATCGTAAGATAATTTAAACATCAAATAAAGAAAAAAGGTGGCCTTAAATAATATTGAGCCTTTTGGCCTATATAACCTCGTTATTTTGGGGGTATAAGTCACACGGAAAAGCTCAATATTTTTTAAGGTCGCCTTTTTTCTCGATTTGTGATCAAATTATGTTACGATCCAAGTAGACAGAAAATGGTTATTTACGAGTTTTTAGTACCTGATTAAATAGACAAGGTTTGCCGATCTCAAGATTGAAAACGCTCCGATTCCGAGAATTTTTGTATGTAAAATAGTTTTTGGTTTCGATGACAAAAAGCTATTTACGAACTATCAGATGGATGTTAATAATTTTATAAAAATGGGTCTGTATCACGGGCTACAAGATAATATAGCTCCATGACATCCAACTATCCGATTTTGTTCTTTATTATTATTAATATATCCTTTTATTTCTTATTTATTGAATTTGTTGAGTCATATTTATCAATTTCGCTTGGATATTAAATGGTTTTATCATATGTTTTTTTCCTGATGAGTTGTTTAATTATAAACTTCCGTTTTCCCTCTAATTACTGCTGAATTGGTGAATTTTTGAATTCGACTACAGAAAGATACATATTATAAAAACTATAACCTCGTACAATTTGATTGTGAATTCAACTTCACTTTCCATACGTTCACTTGTCTATCAATGCGTCTAACTTATATATTTAAAAATCTGGTGTATCCACTCACATTGCTAATCAAACATTTTTTTTTGCAATAGACCATCTGTGTCAGACAATAATTCATGGGTAATAAATATTCAGGACGCAGTCATTATAAAGTTTTT